AAAAAAAAAAAAAAAGACAGAGCATATGGTACCTCAACTACTATACACTGCTTATAGCTCAAAAGACTTTTTAAAGCAGAGGGCACAGTATCACTGACCCATTCAGCTCCTTGTAGATAGTAAACTACCATCTATAAGGCAGCAAAACAAGAAATGGACTGTGACTCTGGCACAGCACAGTAACCAAAACACCAGTTACCACATGACAAAACAAGCTCAAATGACAAAAAAAAAAAAAAAAAAAAAAAAAAAAAAAGAATCAGGAAAAAAGAAAAACCCATCAAGAAAATAGTAAGTAGCACTTACACACATAAAGCTCCTCTTTCCATGGGACCTTATGATGTATATCCCTTACAGACAACAATGTACCCCAAGGCACCTAAGGCCTCATAATATCACCCGAGACACTGACAGCTTCGTGGATGCTTGCTTTTGTACACTGTGGTTTGTGTAAATAACTATTCGTTCATTTGTAGATGCTCCACACATCTGGTCAAGGCAGGAATTTCTTCTCCTTGATAACACCACCTAGAAATATCAATAATATTTTATATATTCCTTAGGGCAACAGGTTTGGGGACAGAAATATGAACTGTGGTAGAAAAGTCCTATGAACCTGAGGTGACTAATGCAGGCATCCTGTAAATCCATTGCATCCTCCACTCTAAAATCAGTCTTCACTTCATACATTCCAACAGCAAAGAAGCAATAAGGGTAGTGATGGAAGCGACTATGGGTTTCTTCTGCTCGGTGAGAAATGGTAAGTAAGCAGCTCAAACAGGAAAGGGAAAGGGAACAATGTACTTTAAGCTGATGCAGAAAAATAAAAATCTGATATAATCAAAAGCAATTTGAGTATTACTATGAAATAAAGAGATGGGAAAGTATATAATAAATAGAGAATTAAACAAATCTCTCAAGCAAGAGGATTTCTGATCAACTCTGTTACATCACTGCTGGGGAAAAGAACAATTGTAGAAAATACACTTAAGTGCCTCCCTTAAACATATACACTTGAAAAAAAAGGTGCTCTTTGAGGCACTAACAAGAAAAATCCTCTAAGCAATCGAAAATGTGTATTTGAGATTTAGTTATCAAACGCAAATGAGATCAGCCAAAATAGACATTAGTAAAGTGACTATGCTTGCAAAATTGAACTTTAGAGGAGAGAGATGCCCAGAAATAGAAGCACTGGAATGGTTGCAATCTGCCAAACTTTAATCCCCTTTATGGATCAAAGTTCACTGCATCCCTCACTGAGTGTTTTATGTGGGAAATAGCAGTTAAAACACTGAGTCAGAAATGGTTAAGTCACTTGGGTGAGAGATCATCCATCAAGATGAACGGAGAGCATGAATTGGAGCATGCTACTGGAGACTCTGCGGGAGCGCTGCCTGTAGCCAGTGAGTCTGAGGACAAGCCACTGCTGATACTACTGCCATCCAAAATATCTGAACTGAGGACAAAGCAAAAAGAATTATAAGCGAATGCATCTATTAGGGTCAACAAAACATGCAATGACATGATTTCAAGGACACACGCATCAATACAGCATTTGTAAATAATGAAAAGCATAAAGCAACAGCAATGAAATACATAATGTACTATGTTGTGATACCTGTGAAATTTATAAAGTCAGAGAAACCCAAAGGAAGACTCACAAGGTCCTAAATCATTTCATCTTCCCCCTGGAGGGACTGGGCTATCTATCATACAGTAAGCATTCCTGTTGACACACCATGGTTTTTTTGAGGGGGCTTCTGACCTTCTGATTAAGAAATTTCTATGCTCACATTTATCTTTTTACCTTTCCAGAGGCTCAAATTAACAAGACTGATTGCATGCTAAGGTACCCATTCTCAGATTAGCTGGTGTGTCATCAAACATTTACTGTAAACGAAAATCTTTCAACTGCCCTAGAGTTGACTACTTGCTCACTCCCAAGAGTCTTCAGTTCAAAAAAAAACTGTGGTTTTGTTTTTTATGATTTCCTCCTCTAATTACATGCCTTTCCTGGTCTTATGAATTTCTTACACTATTTCCTTTCAAACCCAAAGATCCCCCGCTATCTCTAAAAGATTCCTTTCTTAGACCCCTCAGTTACTCTCCAGTTAAGTTTCTAAAATGAATGCTCTCTTCCCACAGTTCCAATCTTGTCCTTTTAATCCTAACAACTGGCCTCTGTTCTCATTTTTCCACTAAAACTGATCTGAACATCAAGTGTCTCTATAACTCTGTCCGGGAATATGTTTCCTTTGCAGCCTAGATACTCAGTGCTCCAAGCAATCAATCTGGCCTGCCTCAAAAACCAGGCTCTGTACTTTACACAGAACTGAGAACCTCTTCAACTTGATATCAAGCTGCCTTCCTTGTTTTGATTTCCAGGATCATAAACCTATGCTCTATATTTGCCTTGAATTTACTCATTCGCTTATTCTAATATTTACTGCCAAGTGCAGAAACTATGTGTATACTTGAAGAGCAACAGTGTGAAGGATAGACAAGGTCCCTGACCTCACTGAATTTTTAGGATAGTGGAGGAGACAGAGATTTAAATAATCATGCTCATAAATATATAGTTACAATTTGTGATACAAGTAATACAGAGAAGTTACAAGGGGCCATGAAAGTCGGACACATGGGTAAGCTGATCTAGACCTCATGAACAGGGAAAAGATTCGCAGAGGTAAGATTTGTGTTTTAATGGGAAAGATGAGTAGGTATTAAAGTGGTAAGGCTTAGGAAGAAGCAAGGGAAGTTCTGGGAATTAAAAGCAGACAAGTACAAGGTAATTTACAGAGAGACAGTGAACACAGTGAGAGCCAGATTGGAGGAGGAGTCAGGCACTTTACTTTTTGAAATGGAAAAAAGCATAACATTAGAGAAGGAATTATGAACGAAAGAAATATGTGTTTTTGTTTGTCACTAGCTCCTTTGCAAAAGCCTATTTTGTTCTAAATGCTGACTCTAAATTTTACAAGTCTACAATATTATTTTTACAAATTCCCAAGTTAATGTATTTTCAGCATTCAGTAACCGATGGCACATTTGGAAGTCCTGGACCCTATACCATCCTTCTGAAACATGACTTTTCATCTCCTGCCTTTCTACTCTTATTTTTTCTTTAAAATGTCACTTCTTTCTTTCCCCGTTTTCCCTGCGGGGTTAGGAATGGGACCCAGGCTCTCACACATACTAGGCAAACACGTTACCACTGAGCTACACCACAATCCCCATGTGCCATTTCTTTCTACTGCTTGTGAGTTGTTTTTAGGCGGAGACAGATTACAAATAGGTTTTGGAAAAGTAAAAATAAAGATGGAAACAGTATACTCCACATTATTCCTACACTATGCTCACTGCTGTCAAATGCATCATTAATAATACCACTTTTAAGAAAGAAGTTTGGAAAACTTAGCTGGCTGTGATATTTGTCCAACCACATGGCAAAGTGGTCCTAAAACATGAATTATTCAACGACTGAAAAAAGTTGCATAGATAATTCAAGACACTGGAAAATCAAAAGACCTTTCTATTTGCCTTTGGAACATATGTGAATTTTCCTCTGCAGCTTTTTGCCTAGACTAATAAAAAAAAAAATGAATTTACTTTCCTAAAGCACATACTGGCTGGGCAACAGAAGGACATGTTCTATGCCCCTCAGCAGGAAGAAAGAGATGCAGATTGAAATTTGGCCACCGTGCAGATAATCTGAAGCTAAATAAAGAATTCCTTGTGGCAAACACCAGAATTATGGTGAGCCCTGGGTTAAAAGATTCCATCTGTAAAAAGGCCTGCTAGCTAAGGTGAATCCTATATTCATTCCAAAACACAAATAAAACTCATGCAGTGAAAGTTTTTCTTAACTTTGTTGTTTACCTTAAGAGAAATAAACTGATGGAGAAATTACCAATTGGATAAAAATGAAACTGAGTATTTCAAAATGTCTTCTCCACCATGTCACATAAAAGTATATAATTTTGCACATTATCAGAAAAATAGAATAATTATATTTAGTCTCCACTGCAACTAAATTAAGTCATTATTTTCTTAATAAAGAAAATTAATTATTAAGTATTTATTTTTGTGGGTTTTTTTTGACAAAAGGTCTCCCTGTAGTTCCAGCTAACAAGATCTACCTGCATCTGTCTCCCAAGTGCTGTGGTTAAAGGGTGTGCACTACCAAGTGTGGCTCTGTAATTAAGATTCCAAACCTAGTAAAGCTTAATGTAGATACTCCTATTAAACTAAAATCTACTTTCTGCTCTAGTTAATCTTGCAGGACTAAACATGATCATGGAAGCATAGACCACAGGTCATTACAACCACCGTTACTATATCCATGTAAAGCAGGACTTCCATAATTGTGTAATACACAGATATCACTGTGCAAAGGTAACTTTCAGTGGTCACCATTAATCTCATATCAGAGCTTCTAAAAGCAATAACATCTGGTCCAATTTGCGTTTCTTTCTTTACTTTTTCAGATAAGGTCTGATGAAGATGCTAATGACCCTTTCACTAGTAGCCCAAAGCTAGATAATGACAGAAAAGCAAAGACATTTCACACTGGACACAGAACTATCTGAATCAAAAGTGAACTAATTCATTCCAGGCATGAAATACACATATTAAGGCAATATTACACAATTCAAAGTATTGAGACTGTGAAAGTACTATCCTTCATCTAGGAAAACTAAGGACAAGCAAATCATTAAAAAGAATAAAGGCTGACTAAGAACAAAACTAGGATGTCCAGTGTGACTTGCTATCACTTTATTTGGCTAAGCTATTTTGTATCTTGTTCAGTCAATAAGATGGGTCCTATCAGATTAATGGCAGGCAGGTAACAGTACAAGAAACTAGCCATGGTCCTATGAAACCCTGCACAGATTATGGTATAAGGTAAGACTACAAGTCATCTCCCTCACTCCTTCTTACAGGCTGAATTGATGGATATGGCTCTCTGGCTCTACTAGCTTGCATTATGAGGGACCAGGGTTATCATTCCAAATAATCTCTATATTTTAATGACAACATATTTAAGACTTAATAACTTTTTATTTGTGTGTGTGTGTATGTGTGCCACATGTGTGTGGCTGCCTGCAGAGGCCAGAAGAGGGAGTCGGATCCCCTGCAGGTAGAGTTACAGGTGGTTGTGAGCCACCCAGTGAGGGTGCCGGGAACTGAACCCAGCTTAAGCAAGCACTCTTAACTGCTGAGCCATCTCTTCAGTTCCAAAACAACATGCTGCAATGTGGTTATTTTCATTGTTAGTTTGGGGATAGGAGTTTAAAAATATCAGAACAGATATCTAAGCTGTTCGTGTAAATACCTCCAAAGCATACATAAACATTTCTATCAATGTATTAAATAAATTACTAATTTTTTTGTATCTGTCATATATTCATGACATTTTTGTCATGACATATACAACATTAAAAATAAGTTAGGACAAATGAGACAGCTCAGTGAGTAAGGGTGCTTGCTGCTAGACCTGATGCCATCTTTAGCAAAAGAAATCTGGACACAGGTGGCTCCTATCTCTGGCCCCATTTCTTAGAATATGGATGTCTGACTGACCAATGGAACTGCATTAAAGAGATAGAAGTTTCTGCAAAAGCAGAATCAAAATTCTATATTAAAGGAGTAACTCACTTAAAACATCTTTACCTTAGGCATAAATGCCAGCATCCTTAGTATATAAGGTGCCCCACAAGTCTTAACACAGTTTTAAGCTTTAAGATCCTACACATCGACTAAAAACATTACTTGAAAGTAAAATAAATTAACTAAATTTTAGCTTTTTGTGTATTTGTATGTAGTGTGTACATGTGTGTGTGCAGGTATGCATGCCCACAAGTGCTCGTGTGGAAGCCAGAGGAGAATGCTGGGTGTCTTGCTATCACTCTGTACCTTGTCCCATTGACACAGAGTCTCTCTCTATACCTGGAGCTCCCAATTTGTTCAGTAATGATCCTGTTTCTGCCCTACCCCCAGTACTAGGGTTATAGGCATGTGTGGTCATATCCAGCTCTTACGTGGGTGCTGATTTGAACTCAGGTCCTCATACTTGTACAGCAAATGCTCTTACCCATTGAGCCATCTCCCTAGTCCTTTGTTTTGTTTTGGGGAAAGGATCTCCACTGAGTGATTCAAGCCGACTCAAAACTCCTGGACTCTAATGAGCCTTTCAACTCATCCTCCTGAGTACCCAGGGCCATAGGCATGTGCCACTACATCTGGCAAGTACTTAAATGTCTGCCATTTACTTTTTGTGTATTCGAGGAATAAATTTATAAACATTTTTACCACTTACTACTTGAGTCATACTTCAAAGACTCTATGAATGACCATGAAAAAAGACAAATATCTCCTAGGTGAGGCAAGAGCCTTTTCTGTTCTGTTTTGTTTTTGTTTTTTGAGACAAGGTCTCATATGATTCAGGCTGGCCTCAAACTCACTATGTCGCTGAGGTAGCCAAGGATGATCCTGAACTACTAATCCTCCTGCCTCTATTTTCCAAGGGCTGGGAATATGGGCATGAGCTACCCATTCAACTTAAATTTCATTTATCATTAATGCCCATGCCCCCAGGACCATCACAGCTACTTCCAAGTTTACTCATGGGTAGCAAGAGCAACTGGACTTCCACAACAGCCCAGCCACAGCTAGCTAAGGCTGAGCTGCTTAAAGGAATGAATGCCTAGGCAAGGGATAAAGAGCACAGACAAGTACTGTGCCTTCTTTTCTTGTCTGATTGTTCGGGTTTGGTTTTTATTATTACTGTGGGTTGAATCCAGGGCCTCAGGCATGCTAGAAAAGTGTTCTATCCCTGGGACATACCTTCTTCTCCTTTCTGTATTTGTTTTGTTTGAGACAGTCTCACTATATAGTTCAGGCTTTCCTGTAATTCATTATGCAGCCCAAGGTGGCCTTTACCTTCGCAATCCTCCTGCCTCAGCTTCCAGAGTGCTAGGATTACAGGCATGTGCTACAGCAGTAACCTCTCCTTGCTTTCTTTCTAATTTGAGTGAATGTGTTTTGTGACAACATAAATATATATAAATATAAAGTGTGTATATACACATATATAAAAATATATGTCCAAAGACACACACACACACACACACACACACACACACACACACACACACAAACACACCCCACTCTGCATTATTTTTGCTATGCTAGAGATGGAACACAAAGTCTTGTACTAAACACGTATTCATACCCAGTTCCTCATTCTGCATGTTTTCAGCTTAGCAAAACGTTGTAAACCTTTTCTTAATTTGTTCACTTGGTTACTAACTGTTAAGCAAACCTATTTATAGTCATGTGCCTACATTCACATTTTACCATAAAAGCCATATGCAGTTTTTACTGAGAATATAGTTTCATCCACTAGTCCTCTTGACAAGCTTCAGGCCTTGCTCTTTGCAACCTCTACATATCTGGGAAGGAAGTCTGTACCAAAATTAGCACATTGAGCTACCAAGGACACACAGAGACAGGCACGAAAAGGAAAGTGGGGGGCAGGCTGCAAATAGTGGGAGTGCTCTAAAAGGCATCTCTAAGATTCCGACAGTACTGGTCAGCAAGTCTAATAAATGAGAATAAGCTGTGACCTGATCAACTAGAAGTACAAGTCATCTTAAGCAAAATGATGGGCATGCAATTTTTGAAAAAGGAATTGTCAACCCTTACACCTTATGAGTGGCTTTTCTACTTCACCCATTTAGATGGTACCATTCTGTTTTATAAAATGAGTACCCTTGTGAGGTTTTTTCTTTAAAGACTCTCAGCCATAAAACCCAAGGAACAAAAAGTTCTAAAAGGTATTACACAATTATGTTAAGAATATGGGTGCTCAGCAAGTTGACTGGAATATCCTGAAAGATTTCAAAATATTACCTAGAAATTGCTATTAAGCCTTCTTCCCAGATGTCTGTCGGCATCCAATTGCTCAACTTCAAGAATAGGAAAAGAAGTTAACTCTCTCACAAAAACACTGAAAGCGTTTAAGTTAGAGACCTAAACTAGAATGAGAAAGACTATTAGTCATGTGACCTGGACCATAGGAATTAGAAACTGTTACTATAACACTGCAAACTTAAGCTGGGGTTGGTGGTACATACCTGTGGTCCCAAGTACTTGGGAGACTAAAGCAGCAGAATTGTGAGTTCCAGGCCAGCCTGGGTTACACAGAAAGCCCATGTCTCAAAATGCAAAATAAAAACTGCAATCCTAGGGCCTGGAGAGATGGCTCAGTGCTTAAGAGCACCTATGGCTCTTCCAGAGGACCCACGTTCAGTTCCCAGCACCTGCATGGCTGCTAACAACACTCCAGTTCCAGGGGATCTGATGCCCTTTTCTCGACTCCACAGGCATTGCATGCATGTAGTGCACTTACATTCATGTAGGCAAAACACTCACACAATTTAAAAAAGAACAAAAATATCCTGCAATTCTAGTTAGCATTGTGATTGACTACTATAAAATTTTTAAAAAGGGACTGGCAGGATGGCTCAGCAGTTAAGAGCACTTGCTGCTCTTGCAGAGGACCCAGTTTCAGTTCCCAGCACCCACATGGCAGCTCACAAATATCTGCAATCCAGTTCCAAGGAATACAATGCCCTCTTCTGGCCTCCATGGGCACTGCACACATGTGGTGCACAAACATACATGCAGGCAAAACACTCATACCCATAAAATTTTTTAAAATTTAAAGAATTTATCACAATTAGATCACATTATGTAGCAAATACCATAGACATAATGATTTGAATAGGAAATGCCCCCCCCGCCCCCAACCGGGCTTACTGTGTTGAATGCTTGGTCGCCTGAGAAGTGGTGCCATTTTGGGAGGTGGCAGAGCCTAGATGGAGCAAGTAAGTTACTGGGGACATGACTATGAAGGTTTTGTTTTATCTGGTCCCCAGTCCCTTCCCCTCTCTGCTTGTCATGATGGACATAGCCCCCAGCTAGATAGATATTGCCACCGCCCTGATGACCTGCATCCCCACAGGCCCAGAATCAAGTAAACCTGAGAACTATGGGCTGAGACTTCTGAAACCATGAGCCCAGAGAAACCTTTCTTCCTGTGTTTATGCTAAGTATTTTGTCACAGTGATCAAAAGTGTGACTAATGCTAAAATTTATCAAATTATATACTTTAGATATGGGAATTTAATGTGTGTCAAGTTTTATGCAAATATAAAAATAAAATGTGTACTCTCCTTGGTATGATTTCTTTTCTAGTATATTGATATTTTTTATCATGTTTTTAAATCTATGGAACTATTGATCTATATTTGGATCATCTCAGTATTTTGGCTATTACAAAATAAACTGTTATGAATCATTGAAAAAAAAGCTTGACAAATGGATATGGTTAAGAGAATGTTGGCATTCTCTACTGAGTCAGAAGCATGGAACATGAAATGTAAGCGGAGCAGTGATAACAATATACACTTTCTCCACAGCAACCCAGAGGTTCTTTCTCACATCAGTCAGCTGATGGCACTATACCACACCATCCCATCTATTGAGAGAGGCTGACCTCACAGAGGCTATGAACAAAAAGTAAAGGTACCAATAAAAGGACTTGTGACTTTCTAAAGATCAGGACATTTAAAATCAACTATACCTCTGTGGAGACGTCCCCTTATGTGAGCATGGATTATATTTTACATTATCAATATTCCTTCCTCATGGATTTTTTAAAAAAATGAGGCATACCCTAACAGCTTTTTTATTTTATTTCATTTTTACCATGAACTGAGATCAGACAATTGCGCAGCATCTGGAGACAGCATGTTGGTAGTGCCTTGGAAGAGTCTCTTAGGCTGGCTTTCTGTCTCCATTTCACCTAGAAGAAAAGAAATGATGCTACTGCAAAACAGTTTTACAAATAGAGGGTAGGTGCTAAAATGAGGGTGATGCTTGTTTAACTAAAGCTCAGAACACTTCAAATTATTATGTAAAAGCTGATGCATGTGCCTATAGTCCCAGTGTTCAGAGACTGAGGCAGGAGGATCAAGAGTTCAATCATGTCCAGCCTGGGTTACATAAGAGCTTCCAGGTCACTTCCTAAACTATAAAGCAAGACTTTCTTCAAACACCATAAAAATATAATTTTTCCATGTGTTTAATATAGAAGTAATATGCTTCTATTTACCTTGACTAAAAGTCAATACTTCAACTTTTTTCATTTGTTATATGTACCATGTTTTATATACATGTCATATATCATATAATTATAAATATATACATATTATATATGCACACATGAAAATGCTGATTTTATCAAACAAACTGAATCAAAGCTAACCAACAGTTGAAACAAAGTATGTATACCCAAATAAAGCTCATAGTGAACATTTTATGGTTAGGAAGAATTATGTTATATCTCTTAATATCTTCACATTTCCTGAGATGACACCAAAACATATTTTCTGAGAAATAGTATATAACTGGAAGGCTGAGTCAGATGGTGTACTGAAAATGAAAAATAAAAACACGGTGAAAGCACACCGGCAATTAAAAGCAATGACAACAATAACTCAGCTCACAAATTTGTTAATCATGCTGGTTTACTCAATCCTATAGACTGTTTAATCAATCCTCCAGATATTTGCATAACTTGTAATCATGAAACATGGCACTAACAAGAATAATGCTTAACATTTTCAACTAACTATTAAGGGTAATTTGCCTTTTCTCCTCAAAGCTGTTATTTCAAATATGCATATTCCTTGGGTTTGCTGATCTTTATCTGAGATTGAAAATAGAATGTTAGAGACAATTTAAATTGGGCCAGGTATGGTGACACACGCCTTTAATCCCAGAAATAAGTGGATCCCTGTGAGATCTAGGCCAGCCCGGTCTACACAGTGAGTTCCAGTCTACCTGTGGCTACAGGGAGACCCTGTCTCAAAAAAACAAAAAAAACAAAAAACCAAAGAAGACAATTTAAGTTGAGTATGGTGGCACATGCCTCTAATTCCAGCACTTGAGAGGTAGAGGTAGGTATATACCACCAAGTTTGAGACCAGCTGGGTTACAGAGAGCTCCACTCCAGCCTTCACTACAGAGTGAGACCCCAGTCTCAAAACAAGCAAGAAAGAAAGCAAACAAGCCAATTTAATTCACGAGACTATACTTTAGTAGGAAAGTGTAGCTCAGCTTAAAACTATATACATTGTCCAGGGATATGACAGACATAGACTTTTCTCTAAGGTCTATGACCTCTCCAGTCATGTGTATTTGGCCATGTTTACAGTGCCACACATGAATTCCCTCCCACTGAGTGGGCTTTAAGTCCATTGAGATCGCTGTTGATTACCCTCAAGGTAAAACTGGGGAAATGGGCAGCAGGCCCCAACCTTGGCTGAGGGACTATTGGCAGCTGATCACTGCTGGGTGAGGGAGAGCTGAATTTTTTCAGGGAGTGATGACTAGACAGGTTGAACAGGCTCCAGTGGATGAACTCACACTGAGGGACATCTAGGTACATAAAGCTGATTTGATAGGCCTTAACATATGTGACAGAATGCATGAAATCCTGTGGGTGGGCTATGGGGAATGCAGATAGGGGAGGGTATCTAAACACGAAAGAAAACCTGAATAAAAATGTATATTGAAAAAATTATATAAATTAACAAAGAAAAAGATCAAGCAAGAACAAATATTACCTTCATTTTTGTATATTATGAATTAATTCCTCTTATTTTTCTTCTGGAGCTATTGTGAATATTATTGATAACACAAAAGTTGTACTTTTCGTTTGCTTTATTCAGTGCTTTAATATGCAGCTTTGAAACTACAAGGCTTTCAACTCTAACTAGAAAGAATCCCTCCATCTACTGGTATATTTTGGAATAGCTACTAAATAACAAATATTAATTCCATTAACACTCTGCACAGAATTTAAGTTACTAATAACAATAATAGTTTTATTTTCAATTCTATTTTCATGTAACAGTCCTGAGAGTATTCCTAAGGTTTTAAATAACCTCTTGTAAGATTAGAGAAAAAGACTTTATTCGCTACAGATATTATCACTATATCAGGGTCTATTTTCCAAAGCACTATCATCTTTCATTTTTTCATTTTTTATTTTTAAATTTGAGAATTTCATATGTGTATTCAATAAAATATGATCATATTCATTCCTGCACCAACTCCTCCTGGATTCCCTCCCCTCAAAACTTCCCCTCCCAATTCTATGTCCTCCTTCTCTTTTTTGGTAATAGCCCATTGAGTCCAATTAATGTTGCCCATATATGCATGGGTATGGGCCCATCCACTGGAGCATGGGCAACCTACCAGTGGTCACAGTGCTATGTAGTACTAGATAGCCTAGCAGTCACTCTGTAACCCAGCCTCAAATTTGCAGTGATCTTCCTGCAAATCCTCCTGCAAATTTGCAGTAATCCTCCCCAGAAAGGCTGGGGCTACAGGCAGACCCTGTCTCGAAAGACCAAAAAAAAAAAAAAAGGTCATAGAATGTAGAATATAGAGATGACATGAAGGATGGGGTGGGCAATGGGGAACAAGGGAATAGGGTATTGGAGTAGGGGAGGATCAATATAAACAAAGGATCATAAAAATGCCATAAAGAACCCCATTACTTTATATGATGATTTTTAAAACTAGCCAGATGTAGCGGGTACCTGTAATCCCAACACTCAAAAGGTGGCAGCAAAAGGATCATGAATTCAAGGTTATCAAGGCTAGTCTTGGCTACATAGTGAGTTCAAGACTAGCCTGAGCTACATGAGACTCTGTATCAAAACCAAAACAAAATACTACTAATAAAATGTAAAATGAGGAAAGGGCTCAGACTGGAGGGAGGGAAATGGGCGGTGGGCTGGTCCTAGTCTGAGAATTACTGGAGACTGATGGCTACTGAGTGAGGGAGAGTAGGCCTTACCAACCATCTCTAGATAGGCTAACTAGACTCCAGTGGATGAATTTGCATCAAAGGACATCTGGGTACAAATGTGTGACTGGATAGGACTTAACATGTATGGTGGAATACATAAGGTAAGGTGGAGGGGTAGGAGGCATAGAGGGAGAGGGGCGTCTAAATTTGATTAAGAACTGTGGTATGAAATGTACAAAAGCTCAATAAGTTTTTTTTTTAAAGTAAAATGGGCCAGGTGTGATGGCGTATGTCTTTAATCCCAGCACTCTGGAGGTAGAGGCAGGTGGGTCTCTTTGAGATCAAGGCCAACCTGGTCTACATAGAGAGTTCTGGGCCAGCTAGGACTACATAGAGATTCTGTCTAAAAACAAAAAGAAAAAAGAAGAGTAGTTCTATAAGTTCATTTCAGACTAGAATTCTATTTTCTCAAGCTTGGCTAGGTTTTATACCAGAATCGTGGTGCATCTTTGAAAGCATATTTAAGGTGTACAAAAAGATGAGTTGATACACACACACACACACACACACACGCACACGCACACGCACACACACACACAGAGGCATCCCTTAGCTCACCTACTTACATTTTTTTAAGCAAATGATGAGAGCATTTAAGATCTACTCTCTTAGTAGGTTTAAAGTATGTAGCACAAGCTGGGCATGATGGTGCACACTTTCAATCCCAGGAGAGGCAGATGGATCTCTGTGAGATTGAGGCCAGCCTGGTCTACATAGAGAGCTCTAGACCAGCTAGGGCTACAGGGAGACTGTGTCTCAAAAAGACCAAAAGAGGGGCTAGAGAGATGGTCCAGTAGTTAAGCACTGGTTGTTCTTGTAGAGGATCCAGGTTCAGTTCCCAGCACCCACATGGTGCCTAACAATCATCAGTAACTCCAGTTCCAGGGGATCTGATGCCTTCTTCTGACTTCCGCAGGCATTGCATGGCATGGGCACGCTTGCATGCAGGCAATACACTCATACACATAAAATAAAATAAAAATAATTTTAAAAGACCAAAAGGAAGTATGTAATACAATAATGTCAACCATAGTCATCACATTGCCACATACCTTTTCTTTTAAGAGGACCAAGAACACTGGGCCTAATGCACTTGACTGGGCTCTGACTCCTCCTGCTTTGACAAACAAATAGGATGATGTGAAGTGATGTGGAACATAAACAGCATCATAGCCCACCAAATAAGTAACACAGACAGTCATATAGACAGAAATACAAAGTATTTGTACCACAGGCTAAGTAACACCTCATTTGAGCATACATGTCGCCATATGAAATAACATGGCATTTTAAGGCATTTTGAAAAATTATTCTATAAGGCAAAATACAACTGCTTAAACAAAAAATTTTACTAAAAAGTTATTTGGATTTTGACCTATAATCTTTTTTTATCTTTAAAACGTGTGTGTTATTGTGTGTGTGTTTGTGTGTGTGTGTGTATGTGTGTGTGTGTGAGATGCCTGCATGTACATGTATGTGTGTCCCCTCTGAATATAAATCAGCAGTAAAGACTGGGCATATAAATCAGTGGTTGATAGCATTTGCGTAGCATTCACAAGGTTCAAACGCTGGGCATGGTGGCATGTGCCTTTAATCCTGGCACTGCACTTAGGAGGCAGAAGCAGGCAGATTTCTGTGAGATGGAAGCCAGTCTGGTCGACACAGTGAGTTCCAGGTGGGCTGGGGTTAGAGAGACCCTGTCAAAAAAAGAAAATGCAAACAAACAAACAAAAAAACCAAGGCTCTGGGTTCAAACCTTACTACTACAATCAATCAATCAATCAGCACTAAACCTCAAAACACAGAATCTTTTAAAATGTCAACACCAGAATATAAGAAGTTGTGAGCACATGGTTGTTCACTGTGAAGTCCTGAAAATTTTAATATATGTCTGAAAAATTCTATAATAAAGAACTAGGCAAAAATTAATTTGAGAGAAAAAAAGTATGTGGTTCCCGAGCCACATTTAACTGTGTGTGTGTGTGTGTGTGTGTGTGTGTGTGTGTGTGGTATGTGCATGCATGTGTGCAGGTGCATGTGCCTATATGCACACACTCATGGAGGCAAGAGGAGGACATGGGTATCTTGCTCTATCACTCTCCATCTTATTCCTTTTAGACAAAGGTCTCTTGCTGAGCCTGGAGCTGGGCTAGTGAGCAGCAAGCCTAAGCTATTGTCCTGTCTCCATCGCCAGTCCTGAGATTACAGGTATGAGTGGCCAAGGCCAGCTTTTTATGTGGGCTCTGAGATCTGATCTCAGGTCCTCATGCTTCTACAGCAAGAGTTCCTACACATTGAGCCGTCTTTCCAGTCCCCACATTTAAAATCAGATTCATTTACCTTGAAAATCGTCTTGGGTTGGGAACAGGACTTGGTGGCGTACCACTGCTACTCACAAACATTTGTAAGGGAGGTGAAAAGCACTGCTGGAAAAAGTACATTTACGATTAACATAGTTACAGTTCTTCAGTTTTCAAAAGGTTCTTTGTTTTATTTTATTCGTTAAAAGGTTCTTTGAAAATGGCAGGAACAGCATAGCTATGCATGTGCTTTATATAAGACACATTTTCCCAATTTTCTGCTGTAGATTTTCATTGCTTCCTTAAGACACTACATACTTTGAAGGTGAGTTGATTCCTATGCATATGCTTTAGAATAAAAAGCTCAATGTCTATAAAAGACAGCTACTATTTTGTCAACAGCCCTACCTTTCCAAATCCTCTGGTTGGGGAAGGCGCTGGTGAAACTGGTGTGAAGTCGATTCTCTTTGGAGAATATAATTTCTCTGGCTTGTCAAAATCACTATCACTCTGTAAACAAAATATTTTCTCCTCATAAGAATTCAGCAAATTACAGCTCTTATGTACTACTGTAACACATCTACAATTTTAAGAGTGAAAATGGACAGATTCAAATATTTTGCTGATAAAGCAGAGATCAAAACCGAGAATTAAACAGGAAGCAGAAAGGACATAAATACATGAAACAATTCATAAAGTCAGTTGAACAACAAAGATTTCTAAAAAGTTAAAAACAAGCAAACATGGAGCTGGAAGGATGGCTTAATGGTAAAGAGCATTGGCAGCTCTGGCAGAGGACCCAGGTTCCTTTCCCAGCACCCACCGGGCAGCTAACAAACATCAGTAACTCCAGCTCAAGGGACTCTGATGCCCTCTTCTGGCCCATACAGGTATTGCATGCATGGATGCACTTACATGCAGGCAAAACACACCACACATTAAATAAATAAATAATAAATAAATAATAAACAAACAAACACGGGGACTTACCAGGCTCAAGCTTTCATCCCATGATTGGCTTATCTGCATTGCTGTTTGCACTTCCCTAAAGCAAACAAAATGAAAAGCCATCAGTGTTTAGAAACAAGACACATACTAGGGTAGGCCCTGCCTTTGCTAAGCACTAACCTTTCATGTGAAGTTTCCCTGCTCATCATATCGAGGCCTTCTTCCTATAAGGACAAACATATGTACTAAAAATACAGTTTTCATCCATGTGTCTATTTCAAATAAAATGTAAAGACTTCCAACATATGCCATCTGACATAATCACAAGTGATGAGAATTAACATTCTTAGATCATCACCCATGCCTTATCAATATTTTAGAGCATACGCAGATGAATAGGAATGTTTCCAATTAACCAGAGTTGGATCTTTACTCATTGTTAATATCTTAATCCTCAAGATCAAAATGTAAAGTCTAAAATATTTCAGTTCTGCGCTAGTTAGTAACAATTACCGGTTTGTTTTGATGTCGTCTGCTACTAGGAAAAGGATTAGGTGAGAATGAGAGCAACTGGAAGGGAGAAGGAAACATTTAACTATTTTCTGAATCAAAGCAGCAGTCGGCTGTTTGCACTGGTGTACAAACTCTTCCTACATAATTCTTCATATTTTTCATAGAAATTTACCTCTTCAAATCCCTAAACATTAATGCACTGGAGGCAATACATGCAGTCTTTAGAAAGTACACCAGGTGTCTAACCTCAAAGCACCATCTGTCGCTAGACAGGCATTGACTTTAGCAGTTTTCCCAGGTGAATGTAAAGCTGTATAAAGTTAGGGGTAAAAAAAAAAAAAAGACTCAGCCTTGGAAGTATCCATTGCTCCACTAATCTTGAATAAGAAACTATGTAAAATAGGAAAGAAAAACCACCGATGCCATCAATTTTTATTACTGACACACAAATGAGTAAAGAGAGGCTGACAAGCCCAACATAACTAATCTTGTCTCTGATTAACGGTCTCAAAAATACTCAAAACAGCATTAAGACATTTCGTTTCCATGATGTAAATCAACTCTTTAGATTTGATTTCTGGGGCTGGATAGATGGCTCAGCAGTTAAGAGCACTTGTTGCTTTTTCAGAGGAACTGGGTTCAGTCCTCAGCACCCACATGGTGGCTGATAACTGTCTGTAACTCCAGTTCTAAGACATCCAATGCCCTCTTCTAGACTCTGCAGATACTGCATGCAAGTGATGTACCTACATATATTCATACAAACACTCGCACTCACAAAAATAAAACTAAAAAGAAGTTTTTGAAAAAAAGATTTGATTTCTAATGCTATCACCACAAATCCTAATAAAGAAGGACCAGCTTCAGGGATAGAGTGTTTGCCTAGCATGCACACTGCCCTTGGACCAATGGAGAAAGGCAAGTGAACCTTCGAAGTAACTGTTGCTTTCCCTTAACTCATCTGTTCCCTTTCTTTTCTGAGACAGAATTTCATGTAGCCCAGGCTGGCTTTGAACTCACTGTGGAGTTGAGGATGCACTTCTGATCCTCCCATCTCCACTTCTTGAGTACCCAGTTTATGTGGTGCTGGGGATGAACCCAGGGCCTCATACATGTCAGACAAGCTTTCTATCAAATATCTCAAGTCCTCATATTTTTCAGTAACACAAAGTTGAAATGATTTGGGGGCCAAATTATGTTCCTTCAAAATAATCACAATTTTTTCACAAAATGTAAGATATAATTCATACCAATAGATCTTAGAGGATTGTAACAGTCATAATGTAAAATTACTATTTTCCCCTAAGAAATACAAATGAACTTGTAATAGAATAAAACCAAACAAGATAATTATTCTGCTTAAGAAGCCTTATGTTATTAAAACTTGTTTTTGAACAATCCTAATGTAGTGAATAGCAAAAGCTAATTCAGGTATAAACTGCAAACATTTTCTACTGAGACATAATTTTTACCTTAAAAGATAGCCCTTCATTACCCACCCCTTTTATATTTTTCTCTCCTAGGTTTTGAAACAAGAAAAACTATTAGTAAAACCATTTTAATGAGTATTTTTTCCACTATAAAAGAAGACAGATATTTACAACTGAACTTTTAAAGAGTTCACTAAAAAAAATGCTAAACTGTCCGGGCATTCCTTTAATCTCAGCACTCGGGAGGCAGAGATAGGTGGATCTTTGTGACTTCAAGGCCAGCGTGGTCTAAACAGTGAGCAAGTTCCCAGCCAGCTGGAGCTACAGGGAGGTCCTGTCTCAAAAAGACCAAAAATGCTAAACTACCAGGTAAGGAAATAAGGCAGGGTGACTGTAGCAGGCTGGTATGGGAAAGCACACATATATATCAGTTACTGGACCAAAGAAGGCCAAAAGGCAGTGAAATCATCAGGGCAGCCAAAGTGAGGATGGTCCCAAGAAGTCAGAAATTCAGATGCCACATCGATAAGATATACAGCTTCTCAATCGCAGACAAAACTACAAAATGACTCAGAAACAGAGATCGGACAAGAGCAGAACTATGTCTAGAACCAGAAATGAGAGTAATTTATCAGTTGAAAAATAATATTCTAAGAGCTTTAGGGAGGTGCTGGCTAATGGTATAAAGTAGAGCAAAGAGCCCAAGTGGGATAAGAAATAAGCCTCCTGATACTGACAATCAAGTAGGCATTGGTGACATTTTCAAGGACAATCTTTAAGGGAGTTGTGGGAGAAGTAGCAAGATTCCAACTGGAAGAAGTGAGAAGACAAGGAGCTAGAGACAGCCAAGGCTACCACTATTCTTTGAAAAAGGCCAGGGAACGGAAAGGAAGGACAGACCTACGAAAAAGAAAACCATTGTCTCACAGCATGTGTTTGAGGAGAAGGTGGGAGCAAGAGAGTTGGAGAAGAAGAGGGAAGGCAGAAGACAGGAGACAATGGCTACACAGCATCAGGGGCACCTGAACATGTATTAACCACCAGGGAGAAGTGCCGCATGTGAAGGACAAAGGCGTTTTAAGGAAAAGAAAGCTGCCATTATAAAAGATGGGTGCCTATGTTATCAGTGAAGTGAGAAGGGAATGGGCTGGAAGTGAAAAGTGATGAGGCAGGAAGCTGGCAGAGACTAAGCAACAAAAGATTTAGAACATGGCTTTAAAGAGCAGCACGGACTCAGTGGCACCTTAGCCCCCTGAGAGAATTCATGCCCCCTTCAAACTACCCATCTTTTCAACTTTTCTACTTGTAATTAAGGCAACACCATTCCTCTGGTCACATTGAAACCCAATTTTGGTCACTTGGAGTCCTCTTTCTTCAGCCTTAAACTAATCAGCTAGCAAATTACAAAGATCCTACTTCTGCTTGCCTGTCTCTTTTGCCATGTTGTCCTTTCCATTTCATTTGCCAGCATTTTACTCTGGACACAAACAAACACACACACACACATAAAAAAAATATATATATACCATACACTGTAATATGTGTACAGTATAATTAATATCACGATAGTGATAGCAAAGGAACATGTGAAAAGGACATGGGGATTAAACTAGGTATCAAAGGACCAAAAAGCTGGAAAGGAGGAGAGGATGGGTTGAAGGGTAGCATAAGGTTCAGCGGGGAGCAATGAATCACCACGGCACTTTACAAAACAAGGCCGCCAGAGCAAAGGGTAGGAAGCAGTGACAGATGAGCCTAGACTGGAGCTGATAAGCATCTTTATGTCTTATAAAAGAGCTAAGTGAAGTGTAGGGAGGCAAATTCATTTTTCCCTTTATTGATATACTGCTCTTATCAGGAGCACAACTGTATAACATGTAAAAATATATTTCATATACCCAACAAAAATAAGTAGTTGTATTTCCAACTATTGTCAGGAAAGTAGGTGAAGCAAATCAAACCTTTAGATAGGTAACATTTCCCCTTTAAGTATTTTTAGCCAGTCTAGTGGAAATCTTTCAAAAATGTATTATAATATTTGCTTTGTCAAACAGGTTATATCAAACAGGTTATATAGCACCGAAAGATCTCTCTATTCTAGTCCCAGCTCTGCCACTTACTATCGATCCTAAGCAAGTTGCTTATATCATCTGAGTCAGTTGCTGCTGCTTCTAACTGGGAAAAATATCTTTTGCTTTGTCTCTTGTCTACTTCATAGGGATTGGTACATGGACTAAATGAGTGAATGAACTTTGAAACACGTAAAATACCATTAAAGTGTAGATGTTACTGGAAATTAAGAAAAGGTTAATGATCATGGATCTTTAAGAATATTACTGGGGGCTGGAGAGATGCACTGGCTGCTCTTGCAGAGGACCTGGGTTTGGTTTCCAGCACCCATGTGGCAGTTAACAACCATCCATAACTCCAGTTCCAGGGGATCCAACCCCCTTGTCTGGCCCCACGAAGGTGTACATATCTCCCGCCCCCAGCAGCATAATTAAAAATAAACAATCATTTGAAAAAAGAATATTACTATATGCTTCTATACTAGTGACACCCTTAGGGACTATCAACAGGCTCTTAGTTTTTATACCAAACCACAAACTACTGGGGGAAAAAAACCTGCCTGCTTTTCTGTTTTTTTCCCTCTCCTCTCTCGCTAGCAACTATTAGCAGACCTCTAACCCAAATGTACCTCTTCTGATTTGCTGCTTCTAACACACCACTGAGCTGGAAGCTTATTATAATTGTGTATAAATTTTAGATGATTCAGAGGTCAGGGAGGCTGTCCTATAAATAAATGGATGAACCTTTGTGCACAGACTATGGAAATCTAGTTCAGCCATTTAGAGGTCTGTGTGCTTACATCTCAGATGTCTAAAGCTGCTGGCTGAGTGAGTTCTGCATGTGAAGTGCTACTATATAAAAACCTCTTCATAATTTTCCCCAGAGCAGCTATTTAATAAGGTGATTCCCAACAGCTCTGGCTACAGAGAACATACACAGTCATCCATTCTTCTGAGAATATAAACACATATTCTACAGGAGTCTTTATTTTGGAAAAGCGTCATTATCTGACAGATGAGTGTCAGAAACATTGCAACTGTTTAAGTGATTTTTTTTTCTTACATCTTAGGACAAATAAAGACCACTGTTCTAAGCTATAATTGGAAGTTAATCCTGACTTACCTCATAACTATGATGCAAGTAAAAATAATTATTGTAACAGTAAACAATTTTTACAAATACGAAGTCCCACAGCAAAGAAGGCAATTTTTGAAGTCTTTTTTTGTGCCAAATTCTGAATGACCACGGCAAGACCAGTAAACAAGACAGGTAAACAATCTTCCTCAAAAAAAATATTGTGCGTAGCACAAAATTTCCAGAAAGATCTATATTTGGAAGGATTTTCTCCAGTCCAAATCATTTCAGATACTTACTTTGATACTTACCAAGCTGTGATGGTTCATAATTGTTGTACTGTTTCTCCGAGTTCTAGGTATATAAGGTTCAAAAACCTGTGAAAGGTCACTATAAAATAAAAATAAAAGGATTAGCATCTTCTTAAGGAAGATAACATCCAAATGAACTATAATAGCATCGAATCTGTAGTTAACAATGAAATCTTTAATAGTTCCCCATTTCCTACAGAAATGGAACTCCTTACCATCCTTTTGGCAGAGCTGCCAGACTGTTGTGCTGGAGATTGTACTAGATACTGATCTCTGTTGGGGGACAGCTCTGAGAGGTGTAGGGCGGAGCTCCAGACTGGTTCATTCCAGTTGCTTCAGGTCAGAGCTACACCCTTACAACCGGTTCCAATCAGATATGAGCCGCTCATCTGTTTACCCCAGAGAACCATAATGATTGATACCGTTTTGTGTGTGAGAAGGGCTGGGGAGTACTGTTCTGAAGAGGGAAAGCCATCAACACGTTTTCTATGTCTGCACTAAGCACCTGCTCTACTGTTCTATCTCTGAATCTTGCTCTTCAAGTGAATATATATGCTTGAGGAGGTTCCTAGGGTTTTTTTCTTTTTATTCATGTTGTCCCTTTGACCTCAAATGCCCTCCCTCCTACCATCATCTGTCAAAATCCTTTATCTCCTTCCACACCTATCTCAAAACCTCAAAAGTCTTGCCTCCATTAAGGCATGGCTCAAACCTCTCCTCATTCCACAAATATAATGCAATCATTCTCTACTTTGAACTCCAAGAAACTGGAGGTAACAAGCTTCTTGAGACACCTACTCACTTTTTAAAGTCAGGGTCTTGCTATATTATGCTGCGGAGTATGATCTTGAACTCCTGGGCTCAAGCACACACCACTGCAGTTGAGTAAACATTCTTCTTATTTTTGTTTGCAGTGCTAGGGGTGGAACCAAGAGTCTTACATATCTTCAGCAAGAGCTCTAGCCTGAGCTACCTACACCACCATATCCACTTGTGTGTGTGTGTGTGTGTGTATGTGCGTGCCTGTGTGTGTTGCTGTGGATGAACTCATAGCCTCAGCTCATGCTCTATCAAAAAGCTACATACATAGCTCCTATTTTACTTTCTATTAAACAAAAGTGTTCCCAGCATCACAACAAAAAATAGAAGAAATGTAGACATGTATTCAACCTCTTGGGAGAAGGGCTTCATTTGTTTTTGTATAATATCCCGGCAGTGTCTAGCTGTCCACTGTGCCCATAATAAGAATTCAAGGATTTCCAAAACTGACCTGGATTGGGCTCTAAGAAACCACTGAGAACACCCATTTCAACTCCTCATTTTTAATGAGAAAACAGATGCTGAAAGGTTAAATAACTCATTCATAGCATAGCTAGTTGGTGGCAACTGAGACCATGCCTGGTCTCTTCTTGTCTGCCACATCAGGCTCTTTCAAGTAATTAATTATACTTAAATTGTTGTTCAAAAAAGTGTTTTTTTCTACTATTGTCTAAATGCAGGTCAGTAGGACAGTCCAAGCCCCTAGCAATTGCTTGCTTACTACATTTTTAAAAGACAAGCTCACACACACATACACACACACATACACACAGACACACAGACACACACACACACACACACACACACACACACACACACACACATGGAGAGACAGGAGAGAAGGGAATCAGACAGACAGTTTATTATTAAAGTATCAAAAAATATGATGCCAAGGGCAACATCAGACAAGTCACTTCATCATTCCCCCATTTCAAGATTATATGTAAAGCAAGAAAAAATATACCTGTGATATGCAAAACACAGATGTTAAAATCAGTTCAATTGGCAAAGCATTATTAAGTCTTCACTATGCTTGAAATAATGTTTTTGGCTAATATCACTACCATTCTCTATTTTGGATCATTGCCATTTTTATGGAGTCTCAAAATTTACCTAAAATGAATTGTCTACTTACAAAAATGAAATGCAATAATTTTAATAGGTGAGCCAACTGACATTCACCATCACAAGATTTTCCTTTAAAATAGACCCCCTGGTGTCTTGTTCACATGAAAACACAAGATCCTTCCACTTACAGGAGCAGTTTTTTTTTCCCCATTATTTTCTCAAACCTATGTTTTACAGACCTAAGCTACAAAGCACCTCTTTTTACCTTTTTATTTTCCACTGAAATGCATTTCAGGCAGCTTTGAAAACTGAAAATACTGAGACAAATCTAAATCACTTAATATAATGTGACCACACCATGAAATTTCGAGTTACTAGATAAACTCTGATTTATTAAAGCAAACCTCGGTTAATGCCAGGGTTCCTAAACTCAGCTTCGAAATAGCAGCTCTTAGAGACAGGTGTCAAGTTGCAAGCCTAATTCAGGGGGGACTTCAGCTTGCCTTTCTCTGATGTATATTAGCCAGGGCAAGCAACCTGTCAGCAGAGCCAGATTTGTGCGGTTCCTTTTAGAGTGGGAGAACACAGCCCCCAGGAAGAGAAAGGGCCCCTTTCTCAGACATGGCCAGAGTTTGAGGTCAAACTTTCACTGTATCTAGGGAACCAAGTCACTGTGAAGAAAATAAGTCCCAAACCCCTCAGTTTGGATTCTAAATGAACTGGAACTGGCACTTTTGGGAAGACTAGTTCCCCAGTGTCAAGCCTCAGAACCCCACACTCCGTCCTCCCCAATCCAGCTCACCTGAGCGCATGGATCAGGGGAGCACTGTTGGACCGCCTCACGGTGCCCCCATCAGATGTGTCAGCCTCAAAGTCCAGTTCCATTTTCTCCTGAGCCATGTCGGAGACTTGCAGGCCGGCACAGCGGACAGTGCTCAGCTCCTGGTGCTTAGCTATGGGCTCCCAAGACTCACTGCAGGACTGAGCTGCTAGGGACTGGCAGCTGGGGGCGGGGGCTAATGGGCGGAGGCTTGGGCTCGGGGGGCGGAGAAAACTAGGAGAGGAGGATATGTGTGTGTGTGTGTGTGTTGGGGGAGAATGGAGCTTGTGTGACAATAAAAAAAAGAGGATGGAGGAAAGACAAAGATAGGAGGAGGAAGAAAAAGAGCAAGGGATGGAAAATAGAAATGCAGGAGGGTAAATGGAAGAAAGCAGAAGTGGGAGAGGACAAAGGTCGGAAAAAGAGGAGCACAGGGACGAGAAAGGAGGAAGAAATGTGTGGAGGAGAGGAAAGAGGGAGGAAACTAAGCATCGGGGGAACTCATGCTGCTATTTTCCCGCCTAGGACTATAAGCGCCGCCTGTCTACAGTTGCCTTGGCAGCGCTAACGCAATAAGAGCTTGACAGTCGGCCGAGCCCGAGCCAGGCGACCTGAGCAGCACCAGATTCCCATGCTCATGGTCTTGGTCCAGTCCGCCATGCTCGGGCCCCCAGCCCCCGGGGGATCCTCAGCGTAGGTATCCGTGCCTAGCGCGTCCCTGTTCCCCCGCCCGCCGCTTGGACTCAGGGGAGGGGTCGGCCGGTCTACGCGGCCGCGGCGCTGCTTCCTCTTTTCGGTTCTAATGGCCTGAGAGACCCGTTGGGGCCAAACCGAATTCTATAATTTGTTGGCTCTTTTTGCCTCCCACGCGTAAGAAGCAGGAGACCACAAAAGCCAGTTCTTCCGCGTCTTGTCTGCCATAGGACTCTGCGCATGCGCCCCGCAGTTGCTCCAATGGGCCTGCAGACACTGAGCATGTGTGGGAACACCACCCCGCAACAAGCGTTCAATCGGGAGGAGAATTTTCTGGGGGCCTGGCGTCTTCCTCTTTGGCATTGGTCCTGGAACCCTGGCGCCCTATTTCGAAAAGAACCAATAGTTTGGAGACTGAAGCCATCAGCTTTCGGGAGTTTGGACTGATTTTCAGGGGAAATAAGAGAAAGGGGTTTTCACATTATTTCATTCCCAGCTTGTACACCCCAACCTCAGTGATCTCCACTCATTTCTTTTAAAGATTTGATTTTTTAAAAAAATTTATTTGCCTGTGTGTATGTGCACATGCCTGCGTGTGTACCAGCAGAGGCCAGAAAGTGTTGGCGCCCCTGGTTAGAGTTAAAGGCCAACAGAATTGCTGGGATTTGAACTCTGGCCCTCTGGAAGAGCAGTAAGAACACTTAACCAACTGAGCCATCTCTCCAGGCCCCCTTCTCATTTCTTTTTTAAAATTTTCTTTTCTAATTTTTGGTCTGTTTTGTAATTTTGCCCTTTTCCCGCTAGAGCAGAGGACTGAATCCAGGGCCTTGTGTTTACTAGGCAAATGCCCTATCACTAAGCTAAACCCATACGTATTTCCTAAATCCCTCGATTTTGGGGGTGGGGAGTGGGGGAGTCTTTGTCTGAAGGGGCTGATTTCCTTTTCAGATCATCTGTTTTGGCTACACTACACAAGAATAAAAGATCTATTTTCTTTCTTAGGCTTAAAAAGATCCTGTCAATCATAACTTGGTGCAAGTAAGAACTGGAATTATTTAATAAGCACCTACATAGCACTTACTACATGCTCTGCAATATAACAACTGCAGAAATATTAAATCATTTTATCTTCACCTCACTAGATGCCCCCCCCAGCAGTAGGGTTAAAAAAAAGTCATTGCATTCTTTTTAATCATCCATAGCTAGAAAGTATCGGAAAGTTGTGAAATTGGTTTCAAAATTTAGCAAAATTTGAGGCTGGAAAAATGGCTTTGTGGTTAAGAGCTCTTGCTGTGTGTGCACACGCACACACACACACACACACACACAAATAAAATAGATTTGAAGTAAAAGTAATTTCCTTGTCCCTTCAATTCTGTTGTCTCATGTTGTTTTTTGAGTGTATGTGTGGGCACACATGCCACTAACCAATGTGGAATTCAGAGGACAACTTGCAGGAGGCAGTCCTCTCCTTCCACTAGGTCAGTCAGGCTTGGTGACAAGCACATATACCTTATGATCCATCCTGCCGGCCCCATTATGAGGGGTTTAAAAGAGCTTCTGCATAGTTTATTTTAACTTAAAAAATTTCCTTTTAATCTTCCAGCTATGTTGGAAACATAATTCCAGCAGGATGGACGTGAAGGCGGAGGCCAAAGCAGGAGGTTTTCCAGTTCAGGGCTGCCTGGGCTACTCATGAAGAAAATCTGCCTGAAACAAAATAACACAACACACACAAAAAAGCAACCTCTGTTTCTGAGAAAATTATGTATCTTCTGAAAGTATAATCTTTACTTGAATCTCTAACTTTCAGGAGTTTACCAATTTAGGAAAAGCTTAAGAATATGTGAGAAGGGTGATATTTCTGCCATCATTTCCAGGTTTATTTATTTTTAATATTTTTTATACTTATCTAGTGTGTATCTATCTGTGGGTATGCAGCTGCCACAGAGCTAGTGTGGAGGTCAAAGGACAACTTGTGGAAGTCAGTTCTGACATTTCACCATGCGAGTTCCAGGAATCAAACTTGGGTTGTCAGGCTTGGCAGCAAGTGCCTTTACACACTGAGCCATCTTGCCAGCCCATTTCCAGATACTTTTAATTTGTGTGTGTGTGTGTGTGTGTGTGTGTGTGTGTGTGTGTGTGTATGTATGCACACGTGAGTGCCAGTGCCCTTGGAGGCCAGAGACAACAAATCCCCTGGAGCCGGAGTTGCAGGCAGTTTGTAAGACGCCTCAACTGGGTCCTTTACAACAGCAGTATACGCTCTTAATCACTGAGCCATCATCCTGCCAGCCCCCGTTTCCAGACTTTATCCACATCATAGTTGCCTACCTAGCTTTTGTTTCCTTTTATGTAAATCTTTCAAGAAATCTGGGTTATTTGTGGTTTATGGCCAGGAATCAACTTGTTTTTTTACTTGCTCTAGTGGTACCTAAAGGTTGACATGTCACTTTAATGTCACTAATGACGACCAGTCAAAAAAAGACATGATTATGACATGTTTGTGAGGCACCGTTTATTTGCAAGGCCTCTAGCAGAGTGTAGCAGACTGGGATATACAAAGAAAGGGGTAGTATACGTTTTAAGCTAAACCCCAAACAACCGTTTTATCTGAGACCATGGCCCATTATTGTGGGACAGAAAATGATAATGACGAAGTACAGTCAGGTGAGTATACTATTGTCTAGGTAGAAATGTAGAGAAGTGAAATAATCTCTTTAAATGCTCTGTTTGCCACTGTACCATCCAGAATTCTTTCTGGCTTTATAGTACTTGATCCTTTTGATATAATCACCTGTATTATGAGTCCTGTCTGTCTTTATAGGCTCTTGGTTTCTGACATGTAAATCTTCCCTTGTTAAAGGGAATTCCTCTCTTTGGGTAATAACTGAAACTTTGCCATATCATATATAGTCATCTCATATTTCTGTGCCACCCTTTTTTGTCTTTAAATATTTTTATAAATTCTTCGAGACGTTCATGCATGCATACAATTTATTTTGATCATATTCACTCCCTATTCCTCCCCTAACTCCTACCGGGTCTACCCTACCACTCTAGGTCCTCCCACCTTTACAGTCCCTGAGAGGACATTCCATGAACCTGTGAAGGTCAGACCTGGTTTGCAAAGGGACCCCAAGAGTTTGGAGATGCAAGAGCCATGAGCTATCTGCCAAGGAGAACTGTATATAGGGAGTGGTGCCAGCCACAGACTGTAAAGACTATTGTAGGCAGCAAAGCAAGAGGGGCTGAGTCATCTAAGCCCTTTGGAACTAAAGTCCCAGACAATGAACATGGAGTTACAGGATTTGGTGTTTGCCCTGCTAGTTTTCAATCTTTTTTTTGGTCTGATATTTCCTCACTATGCTGCCCTTTTGGAACAGGAATGTGCGTTCTGTACCATGATATATTGGAAGTGTGTAATTTGCTTTTTGATTTTACAGGGGCTTATACTTAAGAGATTGTGTTGAATTTCAGAAGACTTTAGACTCTGGACTTCTGAATAGTGTTGAGACTATGAAAGACTATAGGGACTTTTAAAGTTGGACTAATTGCATTTTGCGTTATGATATTGTCACTAATTTATCTGTATCTATATGAACTGTGAAACAATAATGATGTATATATTTACAAGACAGCTATGAATGGTAGGTTATTTAAACTTGCATTTAATCCTATAGTAGTTTATTAAATATTACTGACTCCTATGACTTCAGAAATGTGTCCAGAGAAATATTCAGAGGTACCTCATCTATGTTTTTACTTAAGCAGAAACGCAGAAGAATCTTGTCTGTGCCACTTAGTAGTTGTAATTTGAATAAACTCTGTGGGTTTGGCTTCTTCCTTTGAAATATGGGCATCATGATGGTGCCTACCTCACAGGATTATTGTAAGCTTTAAATGTGATCACATATTTAAAGTGATTAGGACATTACCAGGCACATAAGTGCCCAATAAATGGTAGCTATTATTAACCTGTCTTACATCAGGAATAGAGACTCCAAATCATCCTCATGTCTGGGATTTAGGTAATCTAATTCAGTCTAACATAATCAAGTTTTTCTTATTCTATTCCCAGAATGAATGAAAAAAATAAATGATTGTAATCTTACATGCCATAACTTGTCACAGAGAATCCCAGGCCAATTCTATTAAAGCTCACCACTAATTAGCTGAACAGGGTTGATGATTGAACCAATTGAGATATTCAAAAACATTTTGTAAATTGAAAAGTGTTATTCCAATATTATGGCTATTTTAATGAATAAATCCCATTTCACTCTGTTCATTTGCCTTCTCTGTCACTTCTTTATGTATATGGTTCTTAAAATGTGCAGCTTTGCATTATTATTAGCATGCTAAAGTTATAGCTCAGTGGTAAAGCATTTCCTTAGCATATACCAGGCTCTAGATTCAATCCCCAGTAGCCACCCCCCGACACACACATATGTCAAAGCTGGGTATGGTGGCTCATACTGGTAAGCATACAAGAGGCTGAGGCAGGAGGATTGCTGCAAGTTGGAGGCCAGCCTGTACTACAGAGTAAGTTCCAGGTCAGTGTGGGATACAGTGTGAGACCCTGTTTCATAAACTAAAAACAAAATAAATAATATTATTGGCATGAAGGTAATATTTCAGTGTGGCTTATTAAATGGTGGTGATATTGTGAATAAGGAGCTAAGTGTTATGAGCTGTGAAAACAGAGTTAGAACAGATATAGTCACCAATACTACCTGACATAGAAAGATGATTGGAAGAATACTTACATACTTGTTTTAAGAAAATAAGCTTCACTAATTTAGTTGAGGATTTCTTAGACAAATTGCCAGATTTTATACAATATGGTAAAAAAATTAAAAAAGAAAACACATGGCTTTGCATTCCTGGGACCAGCTTCTTTCCTGGTACCAACACTCCTGTACAAGAGTACAATGAGAACCCCCTACAGAAAACATGGGACATGGAAATCAAAAGAAAAATTATAAACATGATAAAAGAATTCAGTGAATTTAAAGAACGCACAAACAAAGAAATCAAAGGACTGAAGGAAGATAGGGACAAACTTCTGAAGGAATTCAGAAAAGAGCTAGAAATATTGAAGACTACTCAGGCTGAAATGAAGAAGGAAGTGGAACACTCAGTAAGCCAATTAAAAATGAGAAGACAAAGCTTCACTAATAGGATGAATGAGATGGAAAACAGA